TATGAAACGTGTTTTTTATGCTATTTTTTGTAATTCGCGTTTTTATACTTTTTTTTAACAAAAATAAAGTAAATTTTGGCAATGTAGGGAAATAGGTATGTAGCAGTTGGTAACACCGGAACACTTGAAAATAGAAACTTTGAATTGACAATTAGAAACTGTCAAAACACAAAATATATTCACCTGAAAAAAATGTTTGATGTACACCTCCCAAAATAAGAGAAATTGCTCAGAGTCAATGTCCTCATCATTGTGGACTTTGTATTCGATGAAAGATTCGATGCTAAGAACGTGTTTAAACATCCATAGACAAAAATTGTCACATTGACTGAACTTTAACTGGTTCCATAAAATGTTACTAAAATCTCATTACAGCATCGGATGCTGTAAGGAGTCTCATTACAGTACCCGTTTGAGTACTGTTATAGCTTCCATTACCGTAGCGAATTACAAAATAGTTATGTAACCAACAAGTCTATTAATGAAGGCGATTAATTATTGAGATAATTAATCGCATTTTAATATACGAGTTAGTTACAATATTTTTCCGTTGACCGTCTTTTCAACAAAACAGAGAAAATCCATCGCTGAAAAATCTCCCAATTCTGTCACTGGCAAAATAACCTCACTTTTAATGTGTCATAATTTATTTTTGTAGTCTTACCGAATAGATATAGTGGTCGGTTGGGTCGGTATTACAAATTTCATTGGAGAATATTTATTAAATTGACTACTATTTAGTTCGGTCGGACTTTCTTAAAATCGTTTATTAATAGAAAATCGTTTATTAATAGGTGTCATTAATGAATGATTTTGTATACATTTATAAATCTTATAAATACACGGTCGACGGAAAAAGTAATTACAGACCAATATCAATAATACCCGTAATATCCAAAGTCTTTGAAATTGCAATAAAAAACAGGATCATGGACCACATAAAAGATAATAATCTAATAACACAATATCAACATGCATATCAAAGAGAAAAATCAACATCAGCACTGCTTAGTGTAATCCAAAGTATAATAACTGGTTTTGATACGCAAAATTATACACAAGTAGTTTTCTGTGACCTGAG